CTCCCCTTCCCTTCCCTCCCCTCCCTCCTTTTCCTCCCTCCCCTCCTTTTTCTCCCCTCCCCTCCTTTTTCTCCCCTCCCTGGAATCTTTCTTAACTCATTAAAGATGAATGGAATGCATAATTAGTAATGGAAACATGAACATCTAAACTGAACAGGCTTCAAGGAGAACATATGCATATTAGGTAATGCTACAGCCATGTCATAGGTTTCACAAATTTCACAGAATATTCTGAGTTGGAAGGGACCTGCAGTTCATCTACTAAATGTCCCCCTAGCAAGTACGGATTAGTTATATTTTATGTCCATGTCATAAACATAACAAATATACTACTGTGTTCATAACAGCAGTTAAATATTATTCCTTATTACTAAAAGTCCCATAGCTATTTGATAATGTCATTGGAAATTGTTATTACAGTAGACAGGAACTTGCATGACCCCTACTGGGTTATCTTTTCCAAACTCTGTAAGGGAACCTTGTAATCTACGAAGTCCTTTTGAGAGGTGAATAATTAAATTCTTACAATCATGCAAGTTGCTACAATAAGACAAAAATTCTTATTTTCATTTCCTATCCTATTACCTGGAAAAGTAACCAAAGCATGCTAGATTCCAACTGGCATTTTTACTCCCTGTTGCAAGTTGTTTGTCTGAGTGCAGAGAAATTCATGCAAATCTTGTCACACTGTTGAAATGAGACAGTTCTCATTGACTTCAAGAGGGTCTTATTTTTAAAGCTTAGGCATTTTCTTAAAGAAGAATAAAACCGTTTAGTGAGAAAATACTTCTCTTCGCCTAAACACAAGTTACATGTGAAATGTAGGGCTGCCTTATTATTTGATAAATCACTTCTTACATATAGATATCAATTTCATGAAACAGTGAGGAAATGAGGATTTAACCCATAATTCTTGATGCACACTGTCAAATGACATCAATTCTCACTTGTTATAAATATGTGTTTACATTCTGTTATTTAAATTATTACCCGTATCTTAGTAGAAACTGAATGATAGGGAGTAACTTTTGACTTCATCCACAAAAAATTCAGTAGAAGGACGTCTAGATCCAGTAGAGATATGGGTTGGGATCAGAGGGAAGGAGAGAGCTCATAGGGACAGTACAGCCTGTCCATTGCCAACTGGTATAGACTCCACAAGGCTGCAGCAAGCTAAAATGTTGGAGCTGTGCAAGCAGGCAATGCTGCCATCCTATTGACCTTTTTCCTTTCTTGCTCCCTCTCCATAGTTACACCCCAAAAGAAATCTGTATCACCCAACAGATGACAGTAAGTTCACCTGTACAGGCCAGGGGATAAATGGAGCTTCGTCAGCAGCCCTTCTTTAAACTAGCAGAACAGAGATGCTGCAGCTGCTTATGCTGTTAAACACTGCATCCAGGTTTTGTGGCATGATGGGTAGAGAGGACCATTTCCAAACACTTTCCTGTATCCCATTTGGGGATGAGAAATTACTGCACCATCCATTTACCTCTGAGAAGCAAAATATGGCTCTTAGTAAGATCAGGATACTGTATCTCTCTACAAGACCACTTCTAATGAAAATACACCCTCTTAGGTCCCAGCAGTAGCAAAGTATGTGCTGGTATATGGCTGACATATTTCCTGGTTAGTTACAAAAAGAATAGCTTTAATTTACCTTATAAAAATGCAAAAGGAATCCACTCTAAGAGAGAAAAGTAGTTTTATTAATTCAGTGCTTCTCTCATCACTCCTTAGTAAAAATGTACATATTATAATAAGACAGATACAGTTACACAATGAAACAAAAATAACCTAATGGCTTTTAATAAAATTCCAATTAAAGCAAGCAAATGTTTTTTCAAGGACTCAGATCTACACAGGAAAAAGACTAAGGAATGACTACACCTAAATGAGGCTTTTACTGCTAAGAAAAACAGCTACATTAGAGTTCATCAATCAATCATAACATTCACATTTGTGTAATAAAGACTTCTTTATATGTAGTCACATCACACACAGACTGGTACTGGCATCTGTGTGTAACTAATCCTCTCTTCCAAAAAATGATTTCTTCAGGCAAAGCCCTATGAAGACACTTAATGAAAGAGTGACTTCTTTTATACTTAAAAGTAAGAACTAGGAAGAACAATACAAACCAGAGGAAGAGCTGTTTTCTGCAAATACAGTAGACCTGTTATTTAGAAAATATTTTGTAGGACTCTCAGGGGCAGCCAGAGGAGAGAAGAGCAGGTATACAGGCACATAAAGTTGACACAAAGCAACTGCCTCTATATCCTCCTGGTGAAAGCCTTCGGCTTTGGCATGCAGTGTTTTCATCTTTCTGTGCACTGTGAGCTCCTCCGAGACTGGACTGCCCAGGGCACTGGTGGCTAGCCTGTTGTTTCTACACTGGTTTACCAGTTTGCTGGTTCAAATATAGCCTAGGAAATTAAAGTCATGGCCTGTGTGAAATGAGCCTGTAGTAGCCATCAATTACCCAGTGGACAGACAATCCCAGACAGCTCAAATCATGCCCTTGTTGACAGCTGAGATGAAAAGCAAGGGAGCAACTGTTTTCATGGACTGAGCTGTATTCTCCTCCCCAGGGACAGAGTTTTAGGTTTGAAGCATAACATGGACATTTTGGGGCTTCTAGATTATCCCTTCTATTTATAAAGTTTAGCTTCTATTCAGCTATAATAAATGAACTCAGTTTTGAAAGAGAAAACAAACTGAAACTGTAGGATTACAGTAGAATATTAGGCAAAGTCTTGTAAGCATTCTCCAGCAAGATAGCAATAGTAAAGCTGTAGCACCCTCTCTTCTCTTCCAAACCTATCAACCAGACTTGGGGAAAATGGCTCAAGATACTAAGGTACATGCAGAAGCACAGCTTTTGTACATCCTCAAGAAAACCAAAGGGCTAAAGAAACAGTTCACTTAATATGGGTGCATTTAAAACTAGACCCAGTCAAGAACCAGAGATCTAAATACAAGGTGATATAGCTTCCTGATGCAAAATGAATTGCATCTTTCCAACTTAAAGCATCGGCAGATAGTGAGAATCTCCACGTGCTGACCCACACAGGCATATGGTTCAAGGTCTCTGTCCTGATGCACTGTGGAGAAGATTCAATACAGGAGTGACAATTCCTGTAGGCAGCAGAGCTCTGAAAACACAGCTGCTACAACACTGTAGATTTTCAGGTGGGTTGCTGTTACCATCTCTATATCTTGATTAAACAAAAATCTGATTTCATCTAGAAGTAAACCAACAAGTTCTTAACTAACTAAAAAGTTATAAATGTGTAAATTCAGTTTGCCTCTAAACAACTTCATCTATTTCATGTATTTCAAAATGTTGATGTTGCTTTGTTAACTCTTATAACTACAATTCTCGCAATAAACAGAATTTCTGTACATGTGATACCCAGTGGGAATGTAGAAACATCTAGCAAAAATCAAGTAACTAATAGATGCATATTTTGGGGACACATTGTTTGATTTTTGTATTTTTATATAAATCTGAAATAAGTATTTAAATTATTGTACTCCTCATAGAATCGTATAATTGTCCAAGTTGGAAGAGATCCTGAAAGATCACCTAGTCCAACCTTTTGTGAGAAAGGGAGCCTAGATGAGATTATCACCTGGCACACTGTCCAACTGCATCTTGAAAACCTGCAGTGAGGGGGACTCCATTGCGCCCTTGGGAAGGTTGTTCTGGTCAATCATCATTCTTAGTGTAAAAAAATTATTTCTTCTATTGCTTCGGAGCTTCATCACAGAGTGTGTCTTTCTAATCTTTCTAATTCTTTGAGGTGTCCAGAGAACATGCGTTACATCTCAGGTAGGCCTAGAGTCTGCAATCTGTGCAGGTTGGTCACAAGCTGGCTGAATAGGACTTGTTATCCGCATTTATTCCCTCCAAAGAAAAATTAAATTCTTGAGCAAGGGATGAAAAGATGCAGAGCCTAAAAGCATACTGGAGCGGTGAGGGCACTTCGTGCAAGACTGAGTCCACCTGGAACCTCAGTCAAAGACTGTAGAGCTCATGCTTCAATGGACTGCAACTACTGAGGAACTCCACTTTTTAAAAAATCCAGATCGATTATTTATTTCCTGCTTTTCCCTCCTTTGCCGCCCCCTTCCCTCCCGGGGATTCAAACACTAGAAATTTTTATTATATGACACTCGCAAAACCAAAAACATTAATAGGGGTTCTTCCAAAGTAAAATGGAAAAATGAAGTGCACACATGTGCCTGCAGTTTTGTGCCACATAAAATTCTTGCGGAAGAAACTTGGACGTGCGCTGTATCTGAATGTATACATCAGATAACAGCATACAGAAATAACAGTAAGGAGTATAAAAACGAGGTGATATAGGGACTGCATACAGAGAAGCAGTTACAGTGGAACAGTTAAACTCATTCAAGAACAACCTACTGGAAGTCATCGTTGGCACCTAATGTGAGATGCACTTAGGCCAACCTGCTGGAAAACCATAAGCTGAATCAGTTTTTTTGAGTGTTAAATCATTTCGTATCTGGGGAGCTAAGGGGTGGATTGCACAGCCTCACCTAATCCAAAAGCCTCTGTCCTTCAAGGAAGAGATCACTGAAGCTGGACCGCTTTTCTCCTGGAAGTGCTCTACAAGAAGCTTTTAAGACGGGCCCGGGCATCTTGGGAACAAGGGCCTGAGACGGGGACGGTGACCTCCGTCCCAGCGCTGTGGCTCTGGGCTTCGCCACCCCTTGGCCCCTCCGGCAGCGCTGCTGCTGGCACCGTCCTTCCCCGCAGCTGGACACCCGCCCACCGGGATGGGCGAGCGCTTCCAGGCGGCTCAGCGAACTACTTGTCCCCCACCCAGACAGAGGATGCCGAGGTCAGCCCCGGCCCCCGACACGTTTCCTCCGGCAGGCCCGGGGGAGGGCCGTGGGCGCGGGTACGGCGGGGGCCAGTCCGAGCCGGGGCCGAACGCCACCAGAGCTGCCGGGCACCCCGCGCCGCCGGCATGAGGCGGGCTGGGCCCTGGTGCCTGCTCCTGGCCGCGGCCTGCGCCCTGAGCCGGCCCCCGCCGCCGCCGCGGGTCGCGGTGCGCTGCTCGCCCGCCGGCACCTGCTTCAGCGTCCACCTCGACAACGCCTCCTACTCCGCGGCCAGCGGCGCCTGCGGCCAGCGGCAGGGCGGCCTCGCCTGGGTCAGCGGCGAGCCGGAGCTGCGCCTGCTGTTGGGGCTCGTGGCAGAGGCGGCGGCGCCCGCGCTGCTCTGGGTCGGGCTGAAGAGGAACGCCTCCACCTGCACCCATGCGGAGCAGCCGCTCCGCGGCTTCACCTGGGAGGGCGTCGGGGGCGGGACGGCCCCGCAGGAGGTGCCGGCGGCGCTCGGCCGGTGGGTGAAGGAGCCCGTGCGGTCTTGCCTCAGTGCGCGCTGCGCTGGGCTGCACCTGGTGGCCGTCCCCGAGAGCAGCCCCAGCTGGGGCTGGGAGGAGCGGGTCTGCCATCGGGAGAGCCCAGGCTACGTCTGCAAGTACCAGTACGAGGGCACCTGTCCCGACCTCATCCCCGCGGGCGCTCTCAACTTCGACTACCGCCTCCCCTTCGGGGAGGGTAGCGCCGGCCCCGGCTTCAGCCCGCCGGGCACTGTGCTGACCGTGGCGTGCCGCGGCGGGGAGGTGCAGCTCACGTGCCAGTCCGATCCTGGCGGTTTCGCCTGGAAGGCAGCAGAGGAGCCCCTCTGCCCCTGCCTCTGGGGCCGCCGGAGCCCCGGCAGCGTGCAGTGCGCCGAGGCTGCCGGGTGCCGCGATGCCTCCGGCGGCTTCGCCTGTGTCTGCACCCCGGGCGGGCGGGACGGTACTCCCTGCCCGGGCACGGGGGCAAGCGGCCCCGCCGGGTCTCCGGGTGCCGGGGCGGAGGGGCGGCATCCCTCCATCCCGACACCCGGTAGTTCCGCGGGGCCGCCCGCCGCTACCACCGTGGCCGCCGGCGGACAGAAGACGGCTGTTCCGCTGCCCTCCTCCTCCTCCAACTACGTTTTCGTCCTGGTGACGGTCGCGGTGGTGGTGCTGGTCATCCTGGTCATGACCGTCCTGGGGGTTTTCAAGATCTGCTTCAATAAGAAATCCGAGGGCCGCGGGGACAAGGAGTCGCCCGAGGCCGGCAGCAAGGCGGAGGCGGGTTCCGCGGAGCCGAGCGGAGCAGCGGGCAGTGACTAGTCCCAGGCGGCGGGGCCGCGTCCCTCGGGGCTGCCCCGAGCGGCAGCTCCTACCCCGGGCCAGCGCTCGGATGCCCACGTCTCTCCTGCCGCGGGGAGCCGAGGGAGAGGTGCCGTGGGACTTGGCTGGGCAGGACTTGCGGATTATCCGACGCGGGGGCACGCACCTTTTTGAAGGGTTTGAAGCTTTTGGACAGTCAAGAGTTTTTAACCGTCTGAAAAACAGTTATTTAGGTGCTGACATAAGTGAAATATAAATATGTCATCCTGGCCGACAGTGCGATTGCTGCTGCAACAGTTGTGGGGTTTTATCCTCTCAAAACCTCTTCGTTCAGTGCCTTACTTAGAGCAAGCATAAAGGGGACCACGTTGAGCACTTGTAATTTAGAAGTCGCTCCTTCCCTGAGTGGTACTTGGAGACTCTAATTTTCTTTCTAATTGCTGGAACGTTTGGAGAGGTGAACTGCCATAATTTTGGATGAAACTGTGACCCATACTCTTTCATACTTAACATTCTTAAAAATGAGAGAGCATTTCTATACTTAGAAGGTTATTAAATTGCTAAGGCAGTAGGAGGTTAATGAGAAGTCAGTTTTATACTTCAGTTAATGAATAAAGAATGACATAAAAGCTAAATCACTGCTCTGCTTTTTACTTCATAGAATATGATTTTTTTATTGTAGCAGAGGACAAAGTTTTTCTCGTAAGTTGTGCTGGTACAAAATTTGCTTTCTGTATGCAGTATGTTGCTCCCTTACAATCAGACAAGGTGCTGACACACCACACTGCGAGAGGAGTTAACGTGAGTCTAAATACATCATGCAAATCTTATTCTTTTTAGTCAGATATATTATTTTCCACGATGTCCCTTGAGAGTAAGGAAAGAAATATTAGCCATTTGTGCCCCTAGCTAAATGAGGTAAACACTTCCTCTGTGATTTCCCTTGGGGATTCCTGTAAAGCAGCTTTCATCCTGGCCACAGAACTTGCTTTCTTTGCAGTTCAGAGTGCTGATGCTCATTTCTTCTTATTATGGTGTTGTTTTTCAATTAAAGTGGTAATGCTAAATATTGATTCAAGGTTTTCTGAGTGCAGTAAGACACAACTAACTGGATCCATCCAGGTCTTTTGGGACGCAGGGAGGGTAGTGAAATTATTGATTCATAACCATTATTCAGTGGTCTGCAAGGCAGATTCAGTGCAAGGTTTGCCGTTTACATCCATAGGAGGAGAATAACTAAGGTCATAACAACTAAAGATAATCATAACAAGAACTGAAATTGGATTGGATGCAACTTTCTTTTAATTCTTAACTGTAATACCGTATGTAAAACATACAATCGAATGTAAATATATTTCCAAAATGTACCAGAGATGGAGACAAATCTTTACCTTTTCCCTTATATTACATACATGTCCTTTGACTGAGCATTATACAAGCATATTATATTGCAACTGTTTTTCTAGTACAGGAAAAACATTATGTCACCCCATATTAAAGCCATATAAATCACATATAAACTTTGTATCTGTTATTTTTAGAATGGATAAATTTGTGTGGAGGATTTAAAATAATTCAGTTATTTCAATGCTATTGATGAGGTGGGATTTTTAAAAAATTGTTAATTCCCTGGGGTAATGCATAGTGTCGTAGACTTGAAGATAGGATATAATAACACCATGGTAATGAAATGGTGAGTGAAAGAATCTGTGAGTCCACATTTTAAAATGGTAGTTCCTGCAAAGAGAAAGATCCAGATCTCTTGTCCAGATCTCTTTTCTATAGCAGTTACCTGAAAAGTGTCCCATGTTGCCAATTATTAAATCTAATTTTTAGATTTCCTTAATTCCTCCAAAGATAGTTTGACTGGTAGACACACCATTTGTCAGCTGCACATTTTATTTATGAACATGGGGTGAATTTTCAATGGCTTGTATTCATCAAATAATCAGAACAAAAATTTTAATTTTCCCACATTTTTAAAATAATATTCTATACTGCTTAATTAAATGTGCTATGGGATTAAAGTGAAATCTGAAAGTGGACATGGACGAAATTCAAGTACTTCAGATAACTTTTTTCCTGTTTTAAGTGTATAATATAGCTTAAAGAAGATTTTAAAAATTAATGGTTCTGTACTTCCCCCAGGAAGCGTAATTTCCTTTCACTTAATTTTTTTTGTGTGTTCTCAGTCCCAATATGTCTTTCCTCATTTGTAACATGGAGCTCAATCACTGGTAGATGCAAGTTAGTTCCTTCTAGAAATACTATTTTCTGTTTCTTCAGTATGTGGGCAGTTATCAAGGCTGTACAATGGTGATTCATATATTTCACTAATGATATAAACTGACTTGAAAGGCAAACACAGCTGGGCAGCAGCAGTAAGCACATTCCCAGAGCTTCAAAACAGGTTTAACTTCCTGTCTTTACTTCTTCCCCCCAGTATGCAGCCTTGCCTTTCTCCTCTGGACTTGTAGTCTGGAATAGGAAGACTGGAAAGTGGATGTGAAGAAGGAGTCCTCTGTTGGCAAGCGAGTCTTCTTCTGTATTGCTGACTAGAATTATGGAATCACAGAATGGTTTGGGACTGAAAGGACCTTAAAGATCATCTATTTCCCATCCTTCCACTAGACCAGGTTGCTCAGAGCCCCATTCAACGTGGCCTTTAACACTTCTAGGGATGTGGAACATCTACAACTTCCCTGGACAAACTGGTCCATTGTCTCACCACCCTCACAGTAAAGAATTTCTTTCTAATATCTAATTCAAGCCTACCCTCTTTTTCAGTTTGAAGCCATTCCCCCTCTAACTGTCACTACACGCCCTAGTAAAATGTTCTTCTCCAGCTTTCCTAGAGGTATTGGAAGGCTTCTGTAAGGTCTCCCTAGAACCTTTTCCGAGTTGAACAACCCCAACTATTGCAGCCTGTCTTCACAGAAGAGGTGCTCCAGCCCTGTGATCATCTCTGTGGGCTTCTCTGGACTCGCTCCAGCAGGTCCACATTACTCTTAGTTGGAGGCTGCCGAGCAGAACACAGTACTCCAGCTGGGGGCTCCTTCACTGTAGGCAGCAGTGGAACCATGGAAGGCAGACATGGTGGTGGTGCTGCATGTATGTCCTTTCCTTCCTCCTACCTGCCAGTCCTTATGCATTTCGAGTCAGAATGGTGGGAAAACAATACTATTATGTATTTTATAGATAATGTAAATATCAAGAAGCCTGCAGGTCTAGGGAGAAGATGAGCTGAGGAGGGATAAATAAGGAAGACAGGCAAGCAACCATCTTTACAAGCATGTATCCATCCTAACCATCCTCTTGCTGCATATTTTTTCAGGTGTTACTCAAAATGTGATGGTTTGTAAACAAATGAACATTTTCAGTCATTAAGCCAGGAACAGCACATGGGCTGTAACATGTCAGAAGAACATGGTTTTGTTTTTGGAATCTAACCAGCAGGGCTTGTGTTTAAGACTGATAAGAATGGGATACACTGTTCCCTGAAACATAACATGGGAGCATAAGTACAGATAGTTTGAGTGAGATTAAAAGTTATCTAAATTTGTAATGTCTCTGTCACAACAGCAAATGCTTTAGGAAATAGAATAGGAAATCTGACATCTGTAAGTGACGCTTCTCCTGGGTACTCTTAAGGTTGAAAGACAGAGTTGAAGAGTGAGTTCATGTCACACTTGGTCAACTTCTATCAATTTGTCTATCAGAGTTTGGATTTGATTTATTTGTTTTGGCATCCAACCATCCTGTATCAATTCCACTATTTTTTTTACATGTCACATCAAAAAGTAGACCAGTTCATCATCTTGATTTCCCATATCTTTACCATATAGTCCTTTATTCATCTCTCTCACAAGTTGAGGAGTCTATTTAGTTTCTTCTTTTCCAGAAATAATTCTGTGGAACTAAATGTTTTCTTATCCTTTTTTTTTGCACCTCTTTGTATACTATTAGATTCCTTGTAAAATCGATATTTAGAAACTTTTAGAGATGTTGGTACACTATAGTTTTCTATGGTGGCTTAACAGTATTTTCTGGGTTTTAAAAGTTTAAAATATAACCATATGCTTCTTTGGACAATTGCAGAGAACTGCGCTGATATTTTATAAGTATTATTTCTCAGGTTTTTTTCCAAATAATTTATAAGAAATTTGACCTGGACAATTTCTAGGACAGAGCTCTGTGGGCCTCCAGCAGGTCTCCTCACAGGGAAAAAAAAGTCTATAATAAACAGAGGCAATAAGATTTCATGGCTTTTTCCTCATGGCTCTTTCTTCCAGAAACACTCTGAAATACGATCATCACTCATCAGCAGCAAGTACTGTGGTTGGTTTCCTTCTATACTGAATTTGGCATTGGTAGTTGTTATGTCTTTATACAAATGTTCCTCAAATAATTGTTTCTTGACCTACTTTAAAATGCTACTGTTTATTTTCACCTTTTGTTCTGTTTTCGTTATTTGCACATGACTTCAACTTTAAATTACATCCTTTTCTGTCATGTATTGTTTAACCTTTTAGATTTTTTGAGGGGAAAGAGCTTTTCTAATATCTTCTTTTGATAGGTAGTAGATGTTTAGTCTGAATCTGTAATATCAGTAAATAGTTCTGGTGCCATCTGAAAGCTTTTACCCTTTAGCTGCTCCTTTTATTTCTTTTTATCATCTGTCTTAATTTATATACTGCCTCCCTTCTTCGAAATTAAACATTAGCATAGTGAATGTTTGTAGCGTTTATACTCAAAATTGTTCCTTTTTTGTACATTGCAGTCAGCCAAGTAATGTCCACTTCAAAAGACAAAATTAGAATCTGTTTCTTCTGTATGAGTTTTCTTACTAGTTGTGCCAAGAATAAATTATTAAACATATCTGAAAATTTAATCAGTCTGTCATGATAGCGGTCCACAAAAAAACCTTGTTTTGTTATTTGTTACACAAACACAAGTTTGTGTGGCAAGTTCTTGGTATTGGGGCAACTACAGGTGAGGCTTCTGTGAGAAGCTTCTAGAAGATTCTGCCATTTCCAACAGAGCTAACTGCTGGCTGTGGCCAAGCCATCAGTCACTGGCAGTGATAGCAGCTATTTAAGAAGAGAGGAAAAAGCTTCACAGAAGCAACTTTAGCCAATAGAAGTGAGAATATATGAGAGAAACAACTCTGCAGACACCAAGGTTAGTGAAGAAGGAGGGGGAGAAAGTGCTCCATGCACCGGAGCAGAGATTTTCCTGCAGGCTGTGAGCTAAGCTATGCCCTTGCAGCCCATGGAGGTCCATGTGGAACAGATAATCCACCTGCAGCCCACAGAGGAGCCTGTGCTAGAGCAGGTGCTCTGTGAACCTGTGGCGAGAGGAGCCCATGCTCAGTAGCATTGCTGGCAGGACTTGTGACCTCACGGGGGATCCATGCTGGAGCAGTCTGTTCCTGAAGGACTGAACCCCATGGGAAGAACCCACACTAGAGCAATTTGTGAAGAACTGCAACCCAATATATTTGTGTTTAAATTCTTCCTTCTCTGAGCAAGTAATGAATACTGTGTAAGTAGTACATGCAGCTTTTTGTCAGTACACAAGTCTCCTAGACTGCATGGCAATAACCCTTTCAACTCTGCAGTGTTACTGGTGGCACTGTAAGTGAATTGTTTCCCTTCCAGTTATACCCAGCCACTGAGATGATGATGCAGATTCTTGTCCATTAAAGCAATTCTAATATCCTAAGAGAATAAGTAATTATAAGAACACATGCATTAGTCTTCCTAAGTAAAACAATCTTGGTTTTCATTCTTCTATAAATTCTGAAGTTTAAAGGAGTATGAAGATAATATACAACATGAGCATCCACCTATTAATATTATACAATGTGCATTATGGTCAGTTCTCCCCTATATTTAATGGCATTATATTACTACATATCCCAAACTTTTACATCACAAGTTCTCTTTTACTTACCTATACTTCTGGCAGGTACTAATGAGGAAGATTTCATTACTTTCAGATAAATTGACCTCACTCATGCTGTTAATATCCATTGCAATTCCATAAATCCACTTTAGATCTCTCACAAGAATGTCCTACTGGCTTGCCATTTAAAGTTAACTTTGCTGCAGTAAAAGACAAGGACTTAGGTTTAAATGCATATTCTTCTTTTGTATTAAAATTTTACCTAGGCATATAAAGTTATACATTTACAGAGAATATTCTTTCTTGGTAAAAATTGAGATTGTGGGAATAGTTTCTTGGAGCAAAACTCTGTCTGGTCTTTCTTTGGACTTTAAAA